GGCATTCTGCACGCCAGTGTCCCCGCTTGCCGCAATGGCGGCAATTGGATTCCAGTATCCTCTGTTGCAAGCTCTTACGGGCACCTTTGAAGTTGCCCTTACCCTTGCCCTTGTTTCCCTTTGATTTGCCCTTGGCCCCTGATGTGGGCCAGAATCCACGGTTCTTGAAACGATCATTGAGACGGCGCCTGGCATCTGTGTAGGCATTCAGAGTGGTGGCAAGGGATTCATCCTCCTGGAGGGTGTCTTGCATTGCACTCTCATATTCACAGATCAGCACGGCATCTTCATCACCATCAGCTGCTAGTTGTTCTATCCATGATTCCTCATCCCATTCTTCTGTCACTAGAGCTGTCTCGGATTCATCATACTCTTCTGTGTACATGGTGTGAGCGTCATAGATCTTTCCCTTGGCCTTTTTGATACCTGTAACATCATGGAAAAAGCCCGAGCCAAGCATTCGCACAGAGCTGGTGACCTTGGTCATATCCAAAGCATGTTCCTTGGATGACTCACTTTCCAGAATCACGCGTTTCTTGTCATCTGCACTGAGTTGACTTCCTCTGAGCACTATGTAGGCTTGAAGCTCTTCTAAGGTTACTTGGCTAGCAAGGAGTTCGGACCAAAGGATATCCGCACGAGCTAAAAACGAATCATTGGATTCATCTGCACGCTGTACACATCGGAAAACTGCCTTCTCGAACTTCTCATACTTACGTTCCAGTGAAATCTTTCCCCAGTGTCCTCCAAGGATTGTTACCAACTTCTCAACTCCTGTTTTATCCCCAGTGAGCAAAGTGCTACGTTGGAGCTGCAGTTTCTGAAAAGCGGCACCACTGGTTCCTAGAATCAACCTGGTGATCAGTTCATCGATCTTTCCCTGTGGCCAGATCTCGGTCAGCAACTCCACCTTTTGTGTGTACTGTTCAAGATCATGCTGTGCAGGGTCAAACTGTGGCACTAACGACGTCAACTGATTTGGCACCTGAGTGTCGGATTTTCCATCAGAGGCTTCAGACATCGGTCCTCTCAACGCCAGGCTTTGCGCCCTTCAACTGCTGATTGGACTTCTCAACCCCCTGGAGCTCTGGTAGCTCCGCTACCAATGTGAGTGACCCCACAATGGGTAGCGGTATCTGCAGTGATGTTTCCCAAACTCACCTGAAGGCTGCCGCGCCCGATAGATTCCTTTTGCACCACAAGCCTCGCCCAGGAACAACTGATGTTCCAATCCAAATCTCTATGTTTCGTCGGCCACGACGCGCTATGGCAAAAGTCCAAGCCCACCCTGCTCCACCCAAGGCTGACCACAGCCGAAAGGACTGCACATGACATGGTTGGTACCTGCTGGTGAACCCTTGGAGACTATGGGACCTGAATGGGAACTAAGGGAATACTTGAACATTCACAATATATATATATATATATGCACCAGGCCCTGCCACCCCCCCCTCCCCCCCCCCAGGGATGGGTCCCATATACTGGCCCCATATGAGATCTTCCCCCTCCCCCTCCTGTGGTGTGGTGGGGGTGTGGCACTGTCCCCCTCTCCCCCTGTGGTGTGGTGGGGGTGTGGTATGGTATGTTGGGTATGTATGGTGTGTATGGTCGGTCTGGTATGGCATGTTTGGAAAGTATGGTATGTTTGGTATGTATGGTAGGTATGGTATGTATGGCATGAGTGGTTGGTATTGTATGGATGGTAGGTATGGTATGTAAATCTGTTGGGTATGGTATGTTTGATATGACAGTATGTATGGTCTGTATGGTATGTATGGTTACTATGACGGGTATGGAATATTTCCTATGTAAGGTAGGTGTGGTATGTATGGCATGTATGTTTGCTATTGTATGTATGGTAGGTGTGGTAATTACATTTCATATGTCTGGTATGTATGGTATGTATGATAGATATGATAGGTATGGTATGCATGGCATCATTGACATGTATGGTAGGTACGGTATATGTTAAACACAGGTAGTGTTGTCAGAGTACACAGGTAGTAAATAGGAAGTAGATACAGTAGATACATAGCACATGTATATATGACTATAGGTAGCACGTAGGTACTTTGAAGGAGTATGTGTGCTACGTAGGTCGCCTAAAAGGTCGCATGTACCTAGTAAATGCGAGGCTGGTAGTCAGAAATGCTGCAAAGACCTAGCAAATACGAAGCTGGACCTCAGAAATGCTGCCAATAGCTTGCAAATAGAAGGGAAGGGGGCTGCTACCTGGGGACCCAGCACTGTCCCCCTCCCCCCCGGTGGTGTGGTGGGGGTGTGGCACTGTCCCCCTCCCCCCCTGTGGTGTGGTGGGGGTGTGGTATGGTATGTTGGGTATGTATGGTGTGTATGGTCGGTCTGGTATGGCATGTTTGGAAAGTATGGTATGTTTGGTATGTATGGTAGGTATGGTATGTATGGCATGAGTGGTTGGTATTGTATGGATGGTAGGTATGGTATGTAAGTCTGTTGGGTATGGTATGTTTGATATGACAGTATGTATGGTCTGTATGGTATGTATGATTACAATTATGGGTATGGGATATTTCTTATGTAGGTAGGTACGGTATGTATGGCATGTATGTTTGCTATTGTATGTATGGTAGGTGTGGTAATTACATTTCATGTGTATGGTATGTACGGTATGTATGGTATGCATGGTATGTATGGTATGCATGATAGATATGATAGGTATGGTATGCATGGCATCATTGACATGTATGGTAGGTACGGTATATGTTAAACACAGGTAGTGTTGTCAGAGTACACAGGTAGTAAATAGGAAGTAGATACAGTAGATACATAGCACATGTATATATGACTATAGGTAGCACCTAGGTACTTTGAAGGAGTATGTGTGCTACGTAGGTCGCCTAAAAGGTCGCATGTACCTAGTAAATACGAGGCTGGTAGTCAGAAATGCTGCAAAGACCTAGCAAATACGAAGCTGGACCTCAGAAATGCTGCCAATAGCTTGCAAATAGAAGGGAAGGGGGCTGCTTCCTGGGGACCCAACCCATGGGGGGGGGGGGGGGGGGGTGGAGAGACGGAGGACGGGACCATATATATATATATATAAATAGCTTTCTATATATAAATGTGTTGTCCTGGCTACTGTCGCCGAACTGTCCTTGGAGCAGTTCGACAGAGCTTCAAAAAGTAAAGGAGATGGGAACTTGTAGGCAGGAGCCTGCAGGAGGAGCCCATGTGTGGCTGATTGACTGATTGAGTGGCTGATTGCTTGCTTGCTTGCTTGCTTGATTGCTTGATTGATTGAATGATTGATTGATTGATTGATTGAGTGAGTAGAAAAATGGGTGAGCGAGTGAGGGGTGACTGATCGATTGGTTCGGTCATTGAATCAGTGGATGGTTGTTGATTGAGTGGTTGACTTGCGTTTGATGGACTTATTGGAAGGATGGGTCGATTGATCAACTAGTTGACCCATTGGCTGATTGGTTTCATTGATGTGATTGATTTCATTGGATTTGACCCAGGTGTGTGTTTTCAGTTTTGATTGATTCGTTTGGATGACATGGTTGACTTGCAGGATCTTGATTGCTTGATTCTTGGCTGAGGATGTACACTTCTTGACGGCTTGAACAGACTTCGCATTATTTATCCACTGCCTGGTCACGATTGGGCAAATTTGTAGGACGTTTTGCACGTGGCGCATGTACTATCTTCCCAAACCAGTTCTGAAAGAAAATAAAGTACTATATACACATGCTCATATGTGTATATATATATATATTATACAGTGTAGTACAGAGTACACTACTACTCTATATATACAACAGCTTCAAAAAAAACTAAAAAGTAACGCAATGCTGCAAACCGGTCCTTGTACTACAGAGGTATACGGAGTGTAGGAAAGAACAATACTCCATACAGCAGCTTCAGAAACAACTAGAAAGTATCGCAGTACAATGGGACCCAAAAAGTCGGGCTCTGTACTACATAGTACTATGCTGTAGTGCAAAGTCAAGCTATGGGAAACAAAGTACATTAACAGAGAATTTGTGCTCGTCTGCACCAGTTCTGGTGCTTTACAGCACTGCTACCTATAGAGCTTTAGTACTACTTTGTGGTATGGAGTTGTATTCTGAGTGAACTTTGGAGGCGAGGATTGATGGGAGGATGCGCCCGAAGAGCACAGTTTTCGTTTCGCCCAGTTTCAAGACACAGACGTACACATTAACTACTGCATGAGAAATGTCGGGTCATTTGCGAACTATTTTCAATTGAGAACTCTGCGACTACAATTCAAGATCCGATCATGTTTGTCGTTGAAAACAACATCCCCAAAAACATAAGACAATCATAAAACAAACGCACACACGCACATATACGAACTAAAATGCGAACGATAGTGTGTGTGTGTGTTTCGCACAACTCTTCCGTACTGGTTTCGACGCCCCAAATCCCACATCGTGATGCAACCTGTCTTGGCAGCGCCATTGAGTCTTGTGCGCAAATTGTGCTATAGAGTGCAAACGTTGGCGGACCGTTTGCAAGACTCTTGGTGACGCTTTGTTCCAAAACGGATTAACACGGTGTCAACACTACGGCTAACAAACTGCATATCACACGCAACTCAGGTTGTGCCCGGCTCATTCGGTGAATTTGTTGAATGCTTTTTAATTTGCTCTGAACTTCCTTTGATCACCAGAGAAATGAAGAACATGTCCATTTCTGGAGGGTGACCGGGGTTGCTCTTGGTGCACTTTGCGATCACAGAAGCACTTCTGCAGAATGTTATGACTTAAAACTGCTGAAATCAGTAGGCTCTGGTAAACTAACAGGTTGCTATTGAAATAACTATGGAAAATCACCATATTTAGTGGGTAAATCCACTATAAATGGTCATTTTCAATAGCAACCTGTTAGTTTACCAGAGGGTAGGCTCGAAGACTATTAAACAGAGTCCAAAAAATTAATGCTGGAACTTGTGATTTCCCACAAGCAAAAAGCGACGGCGGGTGCTCGCCTGTCAGGCAAAAGGAGGTTTTGAACTTTGCCTTCGGCAACACGAGCAACCAGGAAAAGAAGTGCCCGGAAGGTCAATTCTTGTCAGCTGCTTGTCATTTGAGTCATTGGACACAATCTGAAAACAGAGAACGCAGTGAGAACGGCATAGAAGACCTTGATTACACCATTTTGCCGTATGACATCATATGACATCATTTTTTTGAATTAGCATATGGCCTCTTTGGTGAAAGATTTTTTGCAATCTCTGAACTTCCTACCCCTTGACTGGTGATGCTTCCGACCTCATTGGATTCCACGAATGTTTCAAGATTCGGAATGATATGGCATGATGTGGCGACTGTTTGGGGTGGTTTATAGGGGGGTACCGGGGTACTCCTCCAATAGTCATTTAAGTCATTTCATCTAAGATTTTTTTGATGGTAGCCTCCCCATTAAACAGCCGTAAACGGGGTTTAGAAAAATCCAGGGTTGACATGATTCAATTCACATTCACTCGCCAACCTCCTACCGGCGCCCAGATTGCGGGTGAAGGGTCGGCGACTTGGCGAACATAGAGCAATGTTTTTTGTTTCCATAGGATTTAACGAACCATCAAACATGATTTAGTATTTGGATGTAGTACAGAAACCTGTTGTTGATATAGTCGTGATATAGTTGATGTTTTTTTGATTGATTGATGATGAATTCTGGGGTTAAACATGGTTAAAATATCCAAGAAATAGAAAGTGAATTGTCGATGGATCATAGGAAATCCGTTCTTCGGCAAAGACGCATGGATTCCGAGGAGCGACAGTGCATTAGCGTGCCAAGTGTGTTGAGACAGAATATGGGTAAGGAGATTGAACCTGGCAAGGATCCGAACATGCCGATGCTTGGCCGGTGGAAGCTCCAGGAAGCTCCGATGAGGGATGGGAAAAATATACCTCGATTCGATTGTACAAAGAATGAAACAACATCAAACACTATTCTCGCATCCTTGGGTCTGCGGTTTGGTGCATATTTTGACGTGAGGTCTATGCAGAAGGCATGAAGCTGCATGAGACGTTCGAATAAGTGTGATCAATGAGACAACTGCTGTTGCGCACTGTGTGTTTGAAACACATCAGGTTAATGCAATTTCCCATCTGCGTTTGAAACATACATTGCCAAACATGAGGCATGTCATCATTTTTCCCGGTGCGGAGTTCCTGATATTTGATGAGGGCTTTTAAGCCTCTCCCAGTGATTTACCCAGTCTTGTTTGGGTCCAGGGCTCGACAGGGTCTTGCCATCATTCAGCTTGAGAATTCTTGCCCCTAACGAAATCATTCCGCAGAAGCCTTGACTTAGTACATTTAGTAAGTATTGAATCAATCGAACTGGTCCATTTTCCTGATGTTTTTACATTATATATTTTGGTGATTTTTGGGCCCTTGCAGTCACCACGTACATACATTTAAGTTATGTTGATATACCCCCAATATCCCCCAATTAATTTGAGGTCAATCTGCCAGTCATCTACCAATCAACATCAGTCAGAAACACCATTGTTACTGGAAGTTGCACATCACAATTGATCACCAGTGGACGGACTTCCAATGAGGAACTGTTCTCGTTTCACTTCGAAGATGGATTGCACAGTTGCGGGAACCATGCTCCAGGACATTCCCACGCTTCTGGGTTTCAAGGGGAGAGTGGGAATTCCTTCCCCCTTTCATACCAAATACGCCCCGAACGAAATCCCAGTGGTCCTAATTTAATATTGAATCTTAAGTCATTTTGAATACAGTTTTGGGGGATGGAATTCATTGGCTATTTGGTGCATCCCACTGGTAAGAATCACCAGGGGCCCCAGATTCATGGAGTATCTCCTGCGTTGTGAATGTTTTTTTTGTCTGTTGTATGGGTTATATAAGGCTCATCACTGAGATGCACATATATAGGTATCAGCCTAGTATGGCAATATATGGCTTTATCAGGCTTTATCAGTTTGATTTAAACTATCTATAATATATATCTATACTATATGAATATTATATGACATAATCTAAAACATATGCATATAACATATATAATATAAGTAATAATCCAACTAAAATAATATAAAGCATAAAAACATACATAATATACAATAGATATATTTGTAATATATATCATATGCTATATAAAATGTATTTTATTATGATTAACATGAAATATGATATGACATATAATAGACGGTCTTTATAATACATCATATATAAACATATAATATATCATATATATATATAATTGTGAAAGCAATGTCAGTCACAGATAGATCGGTCATACCCGCAGTACACATCAGAACAGTTCACGCGCATGAGCCAGTACCCTCTGTTACACTGGCTCAAGCCGCCAACACAAGACCGCTCAGTCGATGGAAAACAGATGAGCGCCGCTGAAGCTTAAGCTGGGATTTAACATTGGCTAGATTCAGAACGTTGTCAAGTACACGGCATTCAACGAACCCGAGCCCATTCACAGGTTATCAGCCGTACGCTCTCATTGGGCGTACGGTGGTCTCACGTGATCTACATCGCCTTCGGCATCCCGGTCCTCCTGCCCTTTTACAAGTCAAAGACCTGCACTAAACGGAGGTGGGCTGTTGGGAAGTGAAGGGATGTCACAAAAAAACCAGTCAAGCAGCAACGACACGAGCTTCACCTTTGCGGCGAACGCAGCTCCTGCTCAGGCGATCAATGACACGCCTGGATCTGCAGAGAGCGGTGGCGGCGGTACGATCTCGTACCGAGGACCTGAAAGTGGAGCGTCTTCGAATAGCTTCACGGTGGTCACTCAAGCTGGTCCCCTTAGGGGAAGTGCCAACAGATCGACGTCGGCAAGATCTCCTCGCGCTCCGAGAACTCGCGCTGTGGAAAGTGGCGACAAAGGTGGCCGGAGCCCATCGGGCACGGCCACGCGGGAGGATGAGGTGGGCAAACCTGCTACCTCATCCAAACGCAAGTCATCAACCAGTGCAACGAGGAACGAGAGTGAGGCACGACTGCGACGTCAGCTTCAACACAACATCGAAAAGCTGGAGAGAAGTGAACAAGCTAGGACTGAACTGGAAAACAGATTAGCTTTGTATCAAGATGTCCTTGCACATCGCGATCAAATGGTCAACAACGTAGAGGTCTATTCGCATCAACATCATGAAGAATATCAGGAACATGTCAACTCAGAAATGGAGTTCATGAGAAGTTCCCTCATCAATGCTTACAACTTACTGGACGAACAATCCAATGCTCTGGCTGAGGCACATCTCATGGATGAAGGTTCAACCCAGGGGATCTACGAGCTTGGACAACGTGGTCAACTTGCTGAAGCAGGTGCGGCCCACATCGTCCAGGAGAGTATGGCTATGAGGAGAAGATACCACTCTGAATTGGAGAATGCATCACAACTTATTCGAGAACAACAAGAAATGTCTGAAGCCATGGCGAATCACTATCGTCAAGATGGGCTACAACTACGCGAAGCATGCCCACAGTATGTCAACGAGAAGGAGATGGCAAACAAAGAGGAGATGGAACTATTGAGACAGAGATTGACAGAGAATTCACAGATGATGGTTGTCAACAACGAGATGGTCATGGAACACGGCCAACGAGCTGTTGCACTACGAGATGAGCGAATGGCAGAAATGCAATTAGCTATCAACGAACTGACTGCAAGCTTATCGAGAAAGGACGACATCATTGCCGCCAAGGATAGTGCAACACGTGATCACTTTGCAAAAGTTCGTGACATGGCGAACATGGCTCAGAAGAAGGATGATGAGTACCTTTGGAAGCACAATGAACTACAAATGGAGATTCGAAGTCTCATGAAGTTGAATGAGAACGAGGTCGCTTCCAGAGAGTGGCATGAGGAAAGATTCATAGAGGAGATGAATGAATACCGAAGATTCAGACACACTGAACTTCAAGCATTCAAGGATAGGGAAGTCAGCGTTGAGGCTGTCAAGGATGAGCTCATGGACGAGAACATGAAGTTGATAGAGTCCAACAATCAACTGAGAACCCGAGTCGCCGAGCTTCTCGGATCTCGACTCAGCATTGGCGGTGATGAGACTAGTGTCAAGGGGATCGAGGAGTTGCATGATGAACTTCACAAAGCAAACCAAGAGATCAATCGACTTCAAGAAGGAATTGAATGCAACCCTAACTTGACTGAGGCACTCGTCAACGCAGAGGAAGCAGAAGCAGATAGATACAAGAAACTATACAAGACGGCTTGTGCCGAACGTGACGCAACGATCAGGAAGAATGACTCCCTGAAGTTGTCACTCCATGATGCAAAGTGGGCCATGAAGTCGATGCCGGCTTCATGGAATGCACCGGCTCCTGCCGCTGCTGTACCTGCATCACCATCAGCTTTGCCTCCTACGAGTTTGGCTCCGAGAGCAACGACATCTACAGCCAAAACGCCCTCTTTTGCAGTATCGATTGCAACACCGAGAGAGACTCCCAAAGCTTCATCATCCACAAAGAACCATGAACTTGCATTACCAAGTCCTCCTGGCGCAAGCAGCGTCATCGACAACAAGATCAACAGTGAGATGAATGATCTTCGTGAAAAGCTTCGCCTATCTGAGGAGCGAGCACAACAGAACTATGATGAGATGAAAGAGTACCAGAGTTGGTTAGAACAGGTAGAGGAAGGACAAGGGACGTTGAAGGGGAGCAATGCTCCTGAATACGATCCTGTTCCTGACAACCCTCCTGGACTTTGGGATCGAAGAGACGGCAAAGATGTTAGCGTTGCCAACAGTGACCTTGGCCAAGATGGTAAAGATTGGGTTACTCGAATCTCGAGGAAGGAGCACGAGAAGGTCATCGTTAAGCCATGGCCTAAATGTCAAGATCTTGACGTATGGCGTTCGAACGTCGTGCAAGCAGTGTGCGTTGCATCGGGAGATCCTGACACAGCTGCATGGAGAAGATGGTTAACTCCTGCTCAACTACCCAATCCTGACTATGCTGAACTCGCTGACTCAGGTGAATTCCGTTTCCAGTCCATCGACTCCAAGCTGTCCATTGCCTTGCAGAACATGGTGGACGCCGCTGGCGAAACTGCATTCGAGGTCAAGGTCCGGATCAGACAGAGGAGTCAGGTACTTGGAAAAGAAGGAAATTTTCTGATGGGTAGAGAGATATTAGCAATGATGCTTGATCATTTCAGAGCGACATCAAAAGATGAAGTGTTGTTCAATGCCAGCCACATCCACAAACTACAGTATCGTGGTGACAAAGAGATGGATAAGTTCCTCAATGCATGGATTGAAATCATTGCGAATATGAAGGTTGAGGACATTCCATCTGACAACACACTACGTGATCATCTCCTGAGGAAAATTGATGGTTCTCAGGCACTGCATGTCGACCTCGCGATCTTCAAGGGTAGAGATAATGATGACGGAAAGAAGTCCTACAAAGAGTTGTTGGAGATCATGAAGAGGCACATCGCACGTGTACGTGAGGATAGAAACATTGCAGCCAGAGACAAGTTTGCCACGGACTATACCAATCTTGGTAAGCCGACTACCCCTGCACCAAAGCCTGCGGCTCCAACACCTACACCGAAGGATGGTAAGACCGGAAAGCCAAGTGCACCAGCACCCAAAGGTAAGCCTGGAGCCCCAGTTCTCCCGTCCGGCACTCCAAAGAGTCACGGCAAGGGGAAAGGCAAGGGTGGTCGAAGATCCAGATCGCCTTCTACCAAAGACACCCAAGACCTTTTGTCACTTCCATTTCAACAAAGGGAATTGCAAACATGGTGACAAATGTCAATATAGCCATTCTCAATACCATTGGGACAAGAGGAAGGATAAAGGCGGCAAAGGTAAGAACGGCAGATCAGCTACTCCGAGAAGGTCACAGACACCTGGTGGAAAGGAGGACCGCAACTGCTATGGGTGGTTGAAGGGCGACTGTCAGAAGGGAGACAAATGTACTTTCAAGCATGACCCAAGCATGAAAGGCAAGAGAGCTGCCCCTTCGACGAAGACATCCGACGCCAAGGCCACTCCTGCATTGGTCCGTGAGTACGATGATGATTTCATCGCGAACGCTGTGCCAAGCGAGAAGAAGAACAAGATGGATGTCAAGTTCAACTATCACGTGGAAATACATGAATATGTGAAGCCCGATTTTGTGGAATGCTCCAACAGAAAGCCAAGAAGGAACCTGTCTCGAGCTCAGAAGCGATCATTGACGTGCAGGACTACCAAAGAAATCATGAATGACCAACAATGGGTATTACAATCCAAGTTGGGCATGACAAGAGCACGCGCGATTGGCATATTGATGGATGACTGCGATGAGTTTTCAGATGTCGACGAAGTGCATGTTATCCTGGGGCCCAAGAATGATATCAAGCTCAAGATCAACAGCATTGAGTATCTAGAGAACAACTCTCGAGCTGAAATATGCTATGAGGAGATTATCCCTCACGTCCCAGGGAAATACGGTCGTCGTGACAACGTCATGTGCATCACTATGCCGATTGAGCTCAAGGACAGACGCTTCATCATGGATTCTGGTAGTGGTCATGATCTCATCTCATCTACCAGAGTGGATCGGATGGACATTGACACTTACCAGAGTGGTAGAGTCAACTTCCACACTGCAAATGGCATCACATCCA